GCATGTATATATAGTGTCTGTAATTACACACAGCCATTGGTCGGCATGTATATATAGTGTCTGTAGTTACACACAGCCATTGGTCGGCATGTATATAAAGTGTCTCTAGTTGCACACAGCCATTGGTCGGCACGTATATAAAGTGTCTGTGGTTACACACAGCCATTTGTTCGGGACGTATATAAAGTGTCTGTAGTTGCAAACAGCCATTTGTTCGGGACGTATATAAAGTGTGTTTGGCTACACACAGCCATTTGTTCAGGACGTATATATAGTGTCTGTAGTTGCACACAGCCATTCGTTCGGGACGTATATTAAGTGTCTGTAGTTACACACAGCCATTGGTCGGCACGTATATAAAGTGTCTGTAGTAACACACAGCCATTGGTCGGCATGTATATATAGTGTCTGTAGTTACACACAGCCATTGGTCGGCATGTATATAAAGTGTCTGTAGTTGCACACAGCCATTGGTCGGCACGTATATAAAGTGTCTGTGGTTACACACAGCCATTTGTTCGGGACGTATATACAGTGTCTGTAGTTGCAAACAGCCATTTGTTCGGGACGTATATAAAGTGTGTTTGGCAACACACAGCCATTTGTTCGGGACGTATATATAGTGTCTGTAGTTGCACACAGCCATTCGTTCGGGACGTATATTAAGTGTCTGTAGTTACACACAGCCATTGGTCGGCACGTATATAAAGTGTCTGTAGTAACACACAGCCATTGGTCGGCACGTATATATAGTGTCTGTAGTTGTACACAGCCATTGGTCGGCATGTATATACAGTGTCTGTAGTTGCACACAGCCATTGGTCTGCACGTATATAAAGTGTCTGTAGTTGCACACAGCCATTGGTCGGCACGTATATTAAGTGTCTGTAGTTACACACAGCCATTGTTCGGGACGTATATAAAGTGTCTGTAGTTACACACAGCCATTGGTCTGCACGTATATAAAGTGTCTGTAGTTGCACACAGCCATTGGTCGGTACGTATATTAAGTGTCTGTAGTTACACACAGCCATTGGTCGGCATGTACATAAAGTGTCTGTAGTAACACACAGCCATTGGTCGGCACGTATATATAGTGTCTGTAGTTGTACACAGCCATTGGTCGGCATGTATATAAAGTGTCTGTAGTTGCACACAGCCATTGGTCTGCACGTATATTAAGTGTCTGTAGTTACACACAGCCATTGGTCTGCACGTATATTAAGTGTCTGTAGTTACACACAGCCATTGGTCGGCACGTATATTAAGTGTCTGTAGTTACACACAGCCATTGGTCGGCATGTATATAAAGTGTCTGTAGTTGCACACAGCCATTGGTCGGCACGTATATTAAGTGTCTGTAGTTACACACAGCCATTGGTCGGCATGTATATAAAGTGTCTGTAGTAACACACAGCCATTGGTCGGCACGTATATTAAGTGTCTGTAGTTGCACACAGCCATTGGTCGGCACGTATATTAAGTGTCTGTAGTTACACACAGCCATTGGTCGGCATGTATATACAGTGTCTGTAGTTACACACAGCCATTGGTCGGCACGTATATTAAGTGTCTGTAGTTACACACAGCCATTGGTCGGCACGTATATAAAGTGTCTGTAGTTACACACAGCCATTGGTCGGCATGTATATAAAGTGTCTGTAGTTACACACAGCCATTGGTCGGCATGTATATAAAGTGTCTGTAGTAACACACAGCCATTGGTCGGCACGTATATTAAGTGTCTGTAGTTGCACACAGCCATTGGTCGGCACGTTTATTAAGTGTCTGTAGTTACACACAGCCATTGGTCGGCATGTATATATAGTGTCTGTAGTTACACACAGCCATTGGTTGGCATGTATATAAAGTGTCTGTGGTTACACACAGCCATCTGACAGTATGTTAAAAGTTTCTGTAGTAGTCGCAGAGATGACTGCAGTGCAAGGAACATCTGTCTTTAAGTAAGAAGAAATTCAAGCAATGGTGAGGCAGTGTTTATAGATAAACATATTTGCTTCGCTTGGGCACATGTGGAGGAACCATGTGTGTTAAAACAACACCTCCAGTCATGGGTTTGAACCTAGAAGCAACAATACCATGTTCACTGAGGGGCATGTGTCAAGAGTTGGATGAACAGGTCAGGTGTTGGTCATGAAGGGAATCAAGCAGCACAACACATATTGAACTATCTCTCAAGCTTGGAGGATTTTGTTGCATTTATCATGACTTCCATATCATAGTTTCACTGCATTCAAGTAGGCCAGCATCCAGGCCAGCAAAGTCAGTGCTTGAGAGTTTTGTAGATTTTGCAAAAGGAAATTGGTGTGAGTAAAATATCTGACACAATATTAGATTGGTAATGGGCCATTTTGAAGTACAATCCCTGCCTGCTGTCAGTGTGCAGTGAGGTACAGTGCTGGGTTCTTCATGTCGCACCCTAGTGCTGGTCTCTACTTGTGGATGTTCTGGACTGTAGACATGATCTGACCGGTCTGCCAGTGGAAGTCCTTGCGATGATAACCTGATCTTAGCATGAAGTCCTGTGGCCTATTGATGGTGAAGAGATAAGTGAGTGAACATTTGCCTTCAACCTGCCATTAATCCCCTCAGCTGCTGCCCGTATTCACCAGACAGATGCAACTTGTGCAGGACTCTAACACTCACTCTGCCAACTTAGTAGGTAAATTGCCCACCTGATCCCACAACATTAAAGTCTTAACGGTCGGCTCTGCTCTGAACATACTTCAACGTACAGGCCATATGGTGGGCTCAGCAGCCATGTAATGCTGTCGATTCCTACAGCAGTATGGACTGAGCTTGCAAGGGACAGCAGCTCTGGCAGATGTTACAATGCATGTTGCTGCACATAGGGTGATGGTACATGTGTAAACAGCTTTAATTACTCCATATTCCTTACCAACATCAAAGTGAAGAAATTGTGAAATGCAACCTGATTTAATTTAGCCTAAAACAAATAAACAAAAGTATCTTGTGAGTAGGCATGTTGCTGGCACAAAGGGCAGGTCATCTGGAGAGATCTAATGGCTCACATTGGTTTCTACCATTGTAATCTCTTTGTCTGGACATTATTGCCTCTTTAACTTTCCGAGTCAAGTGCCTTTCAGTGTCCTATCAGATCATGCCTAGCTGTTACCAGCCTGACTGTGGGGTAGTTGGACTGACATGCTGATCCTTGCTGCACCACATGGGCTGAGTAGGACTGACATGCTGATCCTTGCTGCACCACATGGGCTGTGTAGGACTGACATGCTGATCCTTGCTGCACCACATGGGCTGAGTAGGACTGACATGCTGATCCTTGCTGCACCACATGGGATGAGTAGGACTGACATGCTGATCCTTGCTGCACCACATGGGATGAGTCGGACTGACATGCCGATCCTTGCTGCACCACATGGGATGAGTAAGACTGACATGCTGATCCTTGCTGCACCACATGGGCTGATGAGGACTGACATGCTGATCCTTGCTGCACCACATGGGATGAGTAGGACTGACATGCTGATCCTTGCTGCATCACATGGGATGCATAGCACTGACATGCTGATCCTTGCTGCACCACATGGGATGAGTAGGACTGACATGCTGATCCTTGCTGCACCACATGGGCTGAGTAGGACTGACTTGCTGATCCTTGCCACACAAAATGCATCCCTCCTTTTCATGAACTCTTTGTCTATTCTAGCCCACTCCCCAGGTTGTGATAAATAAAATATGTTTCTTGCAAACGCTTTTCTCTTGAACTTTCAGACTAAATGCAGCTTGCAGGCTTTGGCAAAATGTCTCAAGTCATCTTTGGCCACATAAAACAGGCAGGGCTGCATTTTGTACACTGGACATGTGTTGTGTTGTTTATCAAGGCAACACCTGCATCACGCTCCTGCTCACCTACAATTACAACACCCCTAGTGATGACAATGGTACATTCCAGACACCACATGGATGGATTGATGATGGAACTTCAGGGTAGATTGGGTCATACGTGTTTTGTAATAAGCTTATGACAATATGTGCAAATAAATAAAAAAGCCAATAATAAAATGAACATGAGTTTTATACATTTAAATTATCACAAAGGGGTCTCCAAGTTAAGTAGACCCAAGTGCCAACATCTTTTGTATGGCCTTTGATGATGTTCACTGCCCCTCAGCCCCCCTTATCAGTGAAATGAATCAGACTTTACTGAATATTCCAGATGAGTGCAAGTGCAGTGTAGAAGTCCCAGAGGGGGGAAAGCACTGGCCTGTTGTGAAGTGTCTGCAGCTGATTGTACAGCAGTTTATTATCTTTTACATGATTACCTAAATGACTGCTGCAGTCTGCTCTTATCTTCTACTCCCAGTACATTGTTTTATTTGGATTGAACATCTTTGTGGCAGCACATTGGGGTTATCCAGTTGAGGTGCATCATATGCCATACTGCACACTGTAAACATGGCTGCCATTTACCCTTGTGTCTCACTCCTCCGCAACTTTAAAAAATATGGGACAATAATAGCAGATCAAGACCATTGATGAAATGCCACATGTACCAAACCTCAGAGACTCCCCCAGGAGTGGTGTCTCCAGTACAAGTTTGTAGTAAGACCATTGGAGGTTGCATTTACTGCTCATCATGAACTCTATGACCACCAGCCCAGGAGGAGCCAGGGTATTGGCAACTGTGTGTGTTTGGGGTGTGTGTGCACAATCCCCAAGTAACTGACACAGGCTGACATGTTGTCCAGCAAAGGGCACAGCCCTCCTCCCCCAGTGACCAGGAGCACCAGCTGACCAGTTGTGTAACACCTTCCTCGCTAACCGAAAAGTAGCTATCTAACCTTTGACTGATGTTGATGATGTTATTCATTGATTGGAAGGTATTAATTAATGTAGTGTGTCATGGCCCCCCAGCTGTGACTACTTGTGTCAAGGTGCATGTAGTTACAACTGTGGCACTTTGGCGTACACCATCTCCAAGTTACACATGTTCTTACCTTCTGAGAAAAGAAGAGTTACACAGATGTAGAGGATATGTTGTACTGTCTGCAGGAAGTTGTGCCTGTCTACTGGAAGTGACCACGCAGACATCTTGGAAACCTGAAATAAAAGTTATTTCTGTAATTCATAAAATCCTGCGATTGAGACAGCATGTGCATTATACATGTAGCAAGGGACGGAACTCTGTAAAAAATCTTATTGATAACACCAATTTTCGAACTCAGTCTAGATAAATATCTGACAGACACTGTGCATTAAGTAAAACAAGGAAACACTGAAAATATTGTTTATAGAAACACCAAAACATTGAACGGCTCCAGTCCAGCATGATACTTATGCAAAGTTTCAAAATAAAATATGAAACAGTTTAGCTCTGGAAACAAATGCTGCACATATTTCAGTCTATGTCCAGTTTTTTGCCAAGGAAACACTAGAAATATTTGTTTAGAACACATGATGTTCCAGAACACAAGGTATACTGTGTGTGTTCTCTATTCCAGAACACAAGGTTTACTGTATGTGTCCTCTATTCCAGAACACAAGGTGTACTGTGTGTGTCCTCTATTCCAGAACACAAGGTGTACTGTATTTGTCCTCTATTCCAGAACACAAGGTGTACTGTGTGTGTCCTCTATTCCAGAACACAAGGTATACTGTGTGTGTTCTCTATTCCAGAACACAAGGTTTACTGTATGTGTCCTCTATTCCAGAACACAAGGTGTACTGTGTGTGTCCTCTATTCCAGAACACAAGGTGTACTGTATTTGTCCTCTATTCCAGAACACAAGGTGTACTGTGTGTGTCCTCTATTCCAGAACACAAGGTGTACTGTATGTGTCTTCTATTCCAGAACACAAGGTGTACTGTGTGTGTGTCCTCTATTCCAGAACACAAGGTGTACTGTATGTGTCCTCTATTCCAGAACACAAGGTGTACTGTGTGTGTGTCCTCTATTCCAGAACACAAGGTGTTCTGTGTGTGTCCTCTATTCCAGAACACAAGGTGTACTGTATGTGTCCTCTATTCCAGAACACAAGGTGTACTGTGTGTGTCCTCTATTCCAGATCACAAGGTGTACTGTATGTGTCCTCTATTCCAGAACACAAGGTGTACTGTATGTGTCCTCTATTCCAGAACACAAGGTATACTGTGTGTGTCCTCTATTCCAGAACACAAGGTGTACTGTATGTGTCCTCTATTCCAGAACACAAGGTGTACTGTATGTGTCCTCTATTCCAGAACACAAGGTGTACTGTATGTGTCCTCTATTCCAGAACACAAGGTGTACTGTGTGTGTGTCCTCTATTCCAGAACACAAGGTGTACTGTGTGTGTCCTCTATTCCAGAACACAAGGTGTACTGTATGTGTTCTCTATTCCAGAACACAAGGTGTACTGTGTGTGTGTCCTCTATTCCAGAACACAAGGTGTTCTGTGTGTGTACTCTATTCCAGAACACAAGGTGTACTGTATGTGTCCTCTATTCCAGAACACAAGGTGTACTGTGTGTGTCCTCTATTCAGAACACAAGGTTTACTATGTGTGTCCTCTATTCCAGAACACAAGGTGTACTGTGTGTGTGTCCTCTATTCCAGAACACAAGGTGTACTATGTGTGTCCACACACTCTCCAATCCAGGGCAGACAATGTTATCATGTGGCTAAGACTCACACAATCTTTGTAACATGCGGAAATCACTTGGTGAAGAAGAACCTGCACATGGTCAGCAATGAGCTGAGTAGTAAATGTCATTACGTGCAGCATGTTTTGTAACTTGGAAAGTAAATACACTCGGAGCGTCAAAGATTGTCTACCACAGACATGTGTCTGGATGCAACCTCTTCAAGCTGTTAGTTTCTGTTCTCTGTTATAGAATTCATCACACCAAACATTCAAGGAAGCTGGTAATTGTGAACAATTGTACATAATTTGATTTATCACACAATGATTTTGAACAAACATGATTCTGTGAAAAAAATCTTTTGTTTGAATCTATTGTCTCTGCTTGTCTATTTGATGAAAACTTGAAGACCAGCGCTAGTAAGTGTCCATGCACTAGCAAGCATGAAGCTCAATTACAGAAAACAGGAGTAAAGAAATTCAACTCAGTTTCATTGATTACAGTTTTCACTCAACTGTAGTTTACCTGGATATGTTGTCAACAGTCTATAATGTCAACAAAGACAGCCAACTGCCAACGGTTTTGGGGGGGGGGGGGGGGGGGGGGGGTGTTACAAACAGTCTGGATACGGATTCAGGGCAGTTACCAGGGTCTCTGCAAGGTCTGTATGGCAATGAACTGATTAAATGACCAAATGACCTGTGGTCATTGTCACTTGGTCATTCCTTGATATAAGCAATACACTATGATAACAATTGACTGTCCTATTGTTCCTGGGGTCCAGCCAGTTAGACCTGGCACATTTAATTTGCTTACCATGTTGAGATTTTTTGTTTTTGTATAGGACCAATTATCATTGCATGACAGAAGTTGGTCACCTGCTTAACAACAAGGACATACATCACACATTTGAGACAGATGTGTAACAGATTTACACAACCAAGCAGACAAATCACAGAATCCACTAATAGTTTTTACCCAGCTCTGTAACCTGGAAAACTAGATATATTTGAAACCACTTTGGGCGAATACTATTTTTTTTATTGTTTTGTTCTTTTGTACTGACAATACAAGCATCAGTTCCCTGTTTTCTCCTGAGCCTGCAGTGCTTGTTCTACATGACATAACATGGCTACAGATCCACATCTTCAAGATGGCCCCAGACAGACTGAGCATTCCTGCCAACTGAATCAACCCCAACTGTCAGCCAGCACAGAGCACCCCACAGTGGTGTAACAACTGCCTCCACACGCTGCCAGCAGGCATGTGTACAAGCACAGCTTGGGTAGCAGTTTGTTCATCAATTTACTCTAGTCTTTTAATAGGAAGCTATCCCCTTTAATAATGAGGGAATGCAGGAGAGAATAGGAGTGCCACATACTCCACAGTCACTGAATGACTCATGTTCCCTTGGTTGTGTCGTGTCAAGTCTCCACCCAAGTATGGCCTCCACCCAAGTATGGCCTCCACTCAAGCATGGCCTCCACCCAAGTATAGCCTCCACCCAAGTATGGCCTCCACCCAAGTATGGCCTCCACCCAAGTATAGCCTCCACCCAAGTATAGCCTCCACCCAAGTATGGCCTTCACCCAAGTATGGCCTTCACCCAAGTATAGCCTCCACCCAAGTATAGCCTCCACCCAAGTATAGCCTTCACCCAAGCATAGCCACCGACCAAGTAAAGCCTCCACACACACACACACACAGAGTGTTAAGATGTCCACACACACCCCCCCCCCCCCCCCCCATGTTGATATGGAGCATGCAAGCTGTCTATCCCACTCTCCATCCATGTCAAAACATGACTAACCAGTGATGGCAGTCTGGTCAGCTGCCAAACAAACATGCAGCCACAACTATTCCTGCAATGATGACTGCCCAGCTGACCATCTCTCCCATTGAGCCTACAGTCACAACCCAATCATTTATACTCATGACAAAAGGATTAATTCATAAAAACATAAAGTATAGCTTCATGCCACAACAAACTTCCATTTATACCCACCACTGACACAACGCTGCAGACACAGTGTGCACATACCATCTACAAGAGATTGGTGGGTTGGGGTTGGGGGGGGGGGGGAGAGTTCTGAGCCTAACTAGGATGGACTGCTATTTATTATTTAATAACATAATCCCCTACAAAGTCCAAAAACACAATGGTTAGCCTTAATATTCTCAATAGTCCTCCAGTAGGGTTCCTTTGGAATCACAGAAAAACGAAGCCATCTTGCCAGCTGACTTTGTCTTCTTCTTTAAAGGAGACAACAGATGTATCCCTGAACTGACTGTTGTCTCTGGCTGATAGTGGTGAGCCCAAGATTAAGAACCTCAAGTGTTTCGGATCAGGTTGGTTGGTTTGTTGTTTTTTTGCTGCACTCAGCAATATTCCAGCTATATGACGGCAGTCTGTAAATAATCGAGTCTGGACCAGACAATCCTGTGATTAATATCATGAGCATCGATCCACTCACTTGGGATCGATGACATGCATCTACCAAGTCAGCGAGCCTGACCACCCGATCCTGTTAGTCGCCTTTTATGACAAGCATAGTTGCCTTTTACGGCAAGCATGGGTTGCTGAGGACCTATTCTACCCGGATCTTCACGGGTCGTTTCGGATCAGGAGTCAGAAGCCTAAGACACAAACCCAACATGCTGAAACATTAGTCCTGCTCAGTTCATTCTGCAGCAGGTTCTCAACTCTATCAGTTTGTTTCAGGTAGTGCAAGCTACTGATAGCAATGCTCTATGTGAATGTACCATGAAGTATGCTGGGCTAGTCTGACTCAATATGTGAAGAGTTTCACATGTTAATTTAAAGAATCTGTTGTCAATCAATCTCAGGAGAACCCATGGCACAGCATTGGATACTTGGGACATAACTCCTGACACAAAGGTCAATGCCTCCCTTCTATGTGTCTCGTCCAGCAAGGAGATGTGGGTTCAGTCCCTTTGCCACAATATGGCTGGTACATTACAAACAACATAATAAAATCCTACTCTCACTGTTCTAGGGCACATGAAATACTATAAAAACATATTTTTGGTAACAGCCCGATGTGGAAAGGACTTGAAGCAAATAGGTCAATTAGGTTAATGCAGGAAAATGATAATAGTTTAGAGTCCTACAAAACAACACAAACCTCATTCTACCACATTGTATATCCCTTAAGTTCCCTTGGTGCCCATCTAGCAGCAGATGTGACACATCTCTCCTCACCTCTGTGCTGCACACCCAAGTGTGGACCATCCATCACAGCGAGTGCAGCTAGTGGAGCCACATACTGTCTTAGTGGGGCATATCCCAACCTTACCTGCCATCAGCAGGGTCTACACATGCACGGACCCCAAACACATCCACATCTCTCCTCACCTCTGTGCTGCACACCCAAGTGTGGACCATCCATCAAAGCGAGTGCAGCTAGTGGAGCCACATACTGTCTCAGTGGGGCATATCCCAACCTTACCTGCCATCA